GGGCCAAGACTCATCTAACGGCTCACTGCTGGATAGAAATGACGGCCTCTTCTCGGTGGATAAATTACGCATGAGTCGATCGTACTTCATGACTTGTTCGAATTTCGTGTACGAGGTATTCGAGGTCCGAATTCCATCTTGTAGCCCGGGCATCAAGCGTGCAATTTCATATTTGAACCGAGGAAGACTGATCCGAGTTGGAACGGTGTCTGGCTGTGGCTTCATATCTGAATCGTGGCAGTTGATGGGTTTGCTGGTGCTCGTGTAAAGCGGATTGATACTGTAGCTCTCCGAGAACGGTATGTTGTACCAGTCCTGCTGGCAGAGCTGGCACCATACTCTTCGACCGCGCTCAACATTGGAGACGTCCGCTTCAGACACGGTAATGTCCTTTCCAAGACGATGCAAGCCCAGACTCTGGCCTATTCGCACAGCAGAGGATAGTAAGACATTCTGGTTGTTGCTAAATCCCAACAGCTGGCCAGGCAGAGTCAGAGTAGCTATCGCCTCGACAGCGTATATTGAGTGGTTGGCCATATACTCAGCGGTGTTGAGGCAGGTCATGACAGCTTTATACCATTCTTTGGAGAGAGTGTCCTGCTCCCTCGATTGGAAACCCCATCGGATAGCTATGTTCCGTGGGGCACAGCTCAAAGAGGTAGCAATGACTGCAAATAAAAGTGCTGTCCATTGCAGCTTTACATTGTCGTTCTCGATTACGCCACGGCCTTTCGAGTAGAAATTATCGAGCTGCTCACGGAACAAGGGTGCATCGTAAGAACCAGTGTACCATAGAATACAGTTCTCGTGGTAGGCAGCAAGCTCGTAGAGCTGGGTCCTTTCCGGAAGGAGGATTTGTAGATAGGGTATGGGAGAAATCACGCCCTCATACCAAGGGCCTGGAGCGGCAGGGGCTTGCGATATGTCGCCAACACAACTCCCTCGTCGACGAGCTCCATGTAGCTCAGGAGATGCGACGGTCTTGTAGTCAGGATTCTATAAAATGTGAGCTCAAATCCAATAGAAGAGGGGTTTACGAAGGGCCTCTCTGACTTACCTTTCGTCTTCCCCAGGCCAAGAATTCAAGTATGCTTGCGCAGTCTTCAACAACAGCTGGTGGAGCCGACGAGTCTCGAGAGGGAGCTCCTTCATCCATTGAAGCTTGTTCGTCTCTTGATTCGCGGACTTCAGTAGGTGCAGAGGAGCTTAGAATGGTACTCTCTCTTGCTGGCCCCTGAGAAGTATCGCCAGGCTTCTCATTGCGGCTACATAAGTGCTGCACACCTCTGATGAATTGGCATTAGCCTCGTGAAAGCAAGATTGTGATTGCATTTTAAGAACGCATGAAGCCAATATTGAGACCGAGTAGAAATACATCCCTGAAGCTCCACGCTCTTCCTCTTCCTCTTCCTCTTACTCATTCGAGACTCGAGACTACGTACTAAGCACACACTTGACTACCTCGTCCGAGCCATAAGGCTGTCCGGACAAGCTCGGACGCTTCGCCTTTATATTTGGCATCAAAATAGCTTTTGCGATGCGGTACGACACAACGAGATAACCAGATTGCGAACAGAGGCTGCTTCGCTCAAGCACTACTTACCTGCGGATGCAATTCTTGCAAGGTATTTCCTTATCACATTTGACTTTGCGCCGCGTACAAGCAATGCACGCGAGGCGCCTCCTTTGGTTCCCAGTATTCATGTTCGCGAGCTCGTCCGAGGGACTTGCTCAGGGGTGCAGAGTTCGGCATTCGAGCCCGAGATGTAGGAAGCTCAAGGAGTAGAATAAGCTCAGTATATGTGGAGTAATGGTTACTTCAAGAGAATAGCTCGCTATGCGGTCTAAAAGTTGCGGTTGTAGGCTAAGGATTCACTAGGAGAGGGAAAAGTGGATTTTGGTGGGAGTCTGGAGCAACGTCATGGCCAGTATAGATACTCAGCAACCAGAGCGAAAGGCGAATTGGTGGCGAAGTAGGGAGCCGTACAAAGCCGTACAAGCCCGAAGAGTTCAAAATGATGGACAGGCACAGAGGGGGACAACTCCGGGGTGCGGTCAGGCGCAGGTGCAGTCTACCAAAAACTCGGCCGAGGACACCCGAGCAAGACGATGTGATGTCACAGGGGCCAAATCATCACCTCGCAACAACAGATTTTCCGACGCCAAATTGCGCTATTTTCACCTCCCAAGCCAAGCTCAAGTCCTTCAGTCACTTCCCATCTACATCATCAATTCCGAATCTCTGCATTATGTTCCGTCCTACACTTCGACGCGGCCTCCGATGCCAGCACCGACTCCGAAGACTGTGTTGGGAGGAGAGCAACGTCCACATTTACGAGGGGTTGACCAAGGTCCTTTATCATGCTCCCTGGAAGCTTCTTAGCCAAGGATATTCCAAGCGTCAGCCCGGGGGATCTCCATCTCGGTTGACAACAGTGTCTATTTTCTGTCCTTCCTCGTCGACAACTTCAAGTAGGAGGAGCTGCGCTCTCTTATGCTCAAGAAGCCAAATGTTTGCACTATTCCAAATCCCAAATTTCCGTAGCAAGAGAACCCTTGATTGATTGGATCTGCCTCAATATACTCTCTGAACATGTCTGGCGATCCTGGCACCCAAATCCCCTTCGAATGTTCCCCGCCAGGCATCGGCAGTGTTCCGATACGCGTACTATATGTACGTGGTCACGCAGCCAACTCCTCAATGACAGATTTCGGCACGGAATCACAAATAACACCGAATGAGGATGTTTGGATGTTCAGGCAAGGATCTTTCTCGGTAGGTTATTTAAGGTAGGTAGCTGACCTAAGGTATGTGGTACAGAACATATCAGCGCAAATTCATAGGAAGCACCACCTTCCTAGAACTTCATCATTTCGCGATATCGCACCAGACCGCGCTCTTCTCTCAGTTGAGCATCTAGCAATTCAGCAGATTGCAATCTCGCTGTTCGCATTTAGTATACAAAGCTGCAAGCAATGTCATTCCCTGTCTCTGCTAAGGTGGAGAGCAACGCCGAGCCTGACACCAGCAATCTCCAGGGAAAGACCGTCATTGTCACGGGAGGTATGCACTTTTTGACTAAGTGACTGGGTCCTGCCATGCTGATCAAAAACACAGGAAGCTCTGGTCTAGGCGCAGCTTACTGCAAAGCCTTTTTGGCCGCTGGTGCATTCGTCACAAATGCAGATATCCAACTGCCCGCTGAAGCTGAAGCATCTTCAAAGTAAGCATCAGTACAATGCGTTGCGCGCGGCAAAGCAAGCAACCAGCAAGACCTACGACTAAAATACCCCAGTTACCTCTACGTAAAATGTGACACGACTTCTTTCGATGCGCAACTCTCCGTGTTCAAAGCAACTCTAGAAAAAGCCCCAAACAAGAGAATCGACATCGTCGTCGCCAATGCCGGGATCGCCGTCGCAGAAGACGATGTCTGGAAACCACAAGACACCGATGACCCGGTCGCCCCAAACCTCAAGGTGCTCAACATCAATCTCATTGCCATGACCTACACAGCCCATCTTGCCATCCACTACTTCCGGCGGTTCCCTGAGTCCTCCAAGTGCTTCATCCTCAAATCCAGCATTGCAGGCTACAGCCCGGATATCCCAGCTCCGCAATATGTCTCCTCCAAGTGGGGAGCCAGGGGCCTTTTCCGGGCTCTGCGCTGGTCGGGCGACTTCCGCATCAACCTGATCGCGCCTTGGTTTATCAATACGCCGATCTTGGGTGATGGGCAGACCCAGTATATCAGCGAAGTGCTGAAGAAGAAGGGGTTGTGGTTTGCGGAGCCTGATGACGCGGCGAGAGCGGTTCTGATGTGTGCTTGTGATGAGAAGATGAATGGCAGGGCATTTGCTGTTTTGCCTAGGGGTGTCCAGGAGGGTGGTGTTGTTGATTTGGATATGGATTACAACACCGATGAGACGGTACTGGAGCAGATGGAGAGTCTTAGCCTCGAGTGCATGGGGCTTCCATATCCACGACAGCAGGTTTCTTGAGCATTTATTAACGTTGATCTCAAGTACTCGTCAGGTGAAGTGGATATGTGGCATCCATAGCAAAATGTTCTTCGCCCTAATCTGCTCTTTCGTCGTCCCTACACAAGCACAGCTCCATGCTCCGTTGGAACGATCAGGATATCAATGCAGAAGGGCACGTCTTGAGTCTATTCCGGCATTTTCTCATAGGCTTTTCCATGCTCAGGTCTCTTCTCCAATACTTCCGCTTGCTCGTCGCGCATAGGGGGCACCTCGGACAAGTCCTACTTCGATTCTGACATGAATACTCAGGCGGGAAGCTTGGGTAGACAGGCTGAGAAAACATAGCAAGCTGCATCTGAGTCCTTTGCATCTAAGTTGTCGCGCAGTTATTACCCTTGAATGTGCTCGCAAAAGTATTGCTTGCATGATGATGCCTAGCGGAGCGGGAGGAAACACAGGATTATCTTCAGCAACCAGCTTGTCCGTTCCGAGGGGAAGGCGCTCGAATGTCTTCATTGTTCGTTCAACTATTCAAAAAGGATCAAATTATCAATCGTAGTTGGATCAGTTTGGGCGAATTTTTCAAGTTTGTGTATGGCAATACGTGCAGATCTCTCCCTTCTTCCAAGCAACAAAATGACAAAACAAACTGTCGGGAAACCTTTCTATGCATAGAAGTAGATATAGCGGCTAGACACACGCGAATCACTTGACACAAAGCTCGCCGCTGTCGATGGTGGACAGTGGAGCCTCTGTGTGTCTTTGGATTCGTGTTGGTTGTCTTGATTGTTCATTCAAGGGGGCTATCGAAGTGTATATACAAAGGAGACGGAGAGTGATGTGGCGCGAGCTAGCTCGCGCCACACTGCTTGGTACTGTGATAACCAATACACGTGACTTTGGTTGAGTAGTTACCAACACAAACACTGCAACAAAGCCGAAACACAACTAAAATTCGCTCAAAAAGATCTCTCCTCGCTTCTAACAAATGGAAAGCAAAAAAAGTGACAAAAAACCGCCCGATGTGAGGCTCGAACTCACAACCTTGAGATCTCTAAGTATAAAAGTCTCACGCGCTGACCAATTGTGCCAACCGGGCAATTATTTGCTAAATTGAGATTATGCGGTTTATATTGACAAATCCCAAAAACGTCGAGTGCTCGCTTAGCTTGGAGTGTGGGCTAATGCTCGGATTTTTGTTTGGCCGGCTCCGATAGGACTGGAGAAAGAGGCAATAAGGCAAACTTAGCCGATTTCTAACTTAAACTCTTCTGAACATGTTCTATTTGACTTGATATTGTATACCTATCTAGATAGATATGAGACCAAAGAAACTTGTTCAGTATCTGGCGATTCTCCTTTTGAGAAGACGGGGTTTTCTCCTGAAAGTAAAATCCAGGTTTTTTCCCTATGCTCAAACACAGTCCCATGTTGGTATGCGATCAAAATGATCAGACCTGCAGAGTTCATGATGGTAGATCATTCTTATTTTTGTTTCCTACAGGCTGAAACAATCAGCTACCGACATGTCACCCTAAAATGATGCTGCTGATGGATGTTGTAGAAGGAAATGCGAAGACAATCCAGGGGGTTAGAGATGAGGAAGCCTTCGTCATCAAACTACCACTGAAAAGCCCCTGGCCCAAGCTCCAAAGTATCGCGGGGCCATGTCCGCCATCCACCACATCATTCTTGTCCACAAACCCATGACCATGTCGTAACTCTACCCTTCTCCGAGCCTCTAGCTCGAGGTTGTTTCCAGGACTCACAAGTTCTCTCAGACTGCTGTAGACATCCCTTTTTTTCACCATCGATCCAGGAGATCCGGTATCAGCGCCCCATCATGACAACTCCCCGCGTCTTCATCATCCGCCATGGCGAGACGGAGTGGTCTCTCAACGGCCGACACACAGGAACCAGCGATATCCCTCTAACCGCCAACGGAGAGAAACGTATCGTAGCGACTGGAAATGCGTTGGTGGGAAATGACAGGTTGATTGTACCCAGCAATCTCGCACACATGTACGTCTATACTTCGGATCTCAAAATCTTATCCTCTCCTCTCCCATTCCCTCTATCCGATTCAATTTAATTCAAAGAATGCATCCTCACCAACCTCCCCCACCAGCTACGTCTCCCCCCGAACCCGCGCCCAAAAAACCCTCGAGCTCCTCAACCTCGGCTGCAAAGAAAAGCTCCCCTGGCAATCTTCGCGCAGCGCCACCGACATCCGCACAAACGCGCACGTCGAAGTAACACCTCTAATCCGCGAATGGGACTACGGCGACTACGAAGGGCTGACCAGCTCGACGATCCGCGAACAGCGCGCTGAGCGCGGGGAAGGGTCTTGGGATATCTGGCGGGATGGGTGTCCTGGGGGCGAAAGCCCTGAGGATGTGACGAGGAGGTGCGATGAGTTGATTAAGGAGATTAGGGAACGGTTTCATAACCAGGCAATCGGGAAGAAGGTTGGGGAGGGGGAAGCTTGTGATGTGTTGATTGTGGCGCATGGGCATATTTTGAGGAGTTTTGCGGGCAGGTGGGTAAAGAAGAATATTGCAGATAATCCGAGTTTGATATTGGAGGCGGGGGGTGTTGGGACTTTGAGGTGAGTGGTACGGAGTGGCTTTCGGATGATTGACTAACAAATGTGATGCAGTTATGAACACCACAGTATTGACGAGCCGGCGATTTTACTGGGTGGCGCTTTCATGGTTGATGTTGTCGAGACTGCTGGAGCAAGCAAATAGAAATAAGATATAGACCTGGACCATATCCACTGTACTATAGCGCGGATGGGTATAATGCATTATTACTACATTATTTAGTTCTACGAACTGTGGAATACCTCAATAAATTCTCCTAAACGCCAAACCGGAGCGTCAAATCACCACGTCGCGTTCTACCCTAATTTTTTTCCATTACCATTTGAATCCAGAGGCAGCAGCAGTTGGGTACGTACTCATTGTATAGCTTTTCCCAGCCCACGCCTTGGAGATGGCCGAGCAAGCCTGAGCAGGAAGTCTCAAATAACCTAATCGCAGACAGTTAGCATACTTCTCCTTCCATTCACCATCTCGAATAATACATACCATTCGACCCAGCAATCACAACATGGAACTGATGCCTCCACTGCCCGGAATTCGTCGCCTTATCAATCGTCACCGGACTTCCCCAGATCGAGCACTTGATATGCGTCGACCCCGCGGGGTTGGGACAGCTATCCGCGGGATTCAGGACCGGATCACGCTCGTAGAACATGTTGAACGCAATACACCCGTCGACATCGTCGCAGTAATCAGCGCACTCGGACGCGTTATACCCCTTCAGTTCAAAGTATCCGAGATACTTGGTCTGATCATCTCCATTGATCGAAGCAGTGGCATTGGAGAAGATCTTGGCCCAGCCCGGGGGAGGCACATTGTTGATCGAGTTCTTCTGCAGCGTCGCGCTTTTGACGAAAGCGGCGTCGGTGTCGGGCTTGACGGCTGGTCCGTATGCGGACGGCTGCGGCGCGCAGGGAGCGTTAACGTCGATGTCGGCGCGGCGGGCGTGCCAGTTCTTGTGGTCTTTGCCGGTGTTGTCCGAGGAGCCCTTGACGTTTGGAAGCCAGCCCCAGCCGCCGCTGGATGTGAGAATAGGGGGTGCTTCACCATTCCAGCTTTGGGAGGCGGGGAAGTCGGTGGGTTTGGCGCCTGTTCCCCATACCTTGGTTTGGTAGGGTCCTGTGGCGCCTGGATAGCCGCGCTTGGAATTCCATGCGTTGTTAGTGTTGGTGGGTTTGGAACCTGAGGAAGGCCATGAGGAACCGGAAGCTGATGGCCACGCTCCAGTCGACTTGGAGCCCGAAGAAGGCCATGAAGAACCGGACGCTAGAGGCCACATTCCAGTAGACTTGGATCTCGAAGAAGGCCATGAAGAACCGGAAGCCGATGGCCACGCTGCTCCTGCTGTACCCGTAGGCCACCCACTGGCTGAGTTTCCGTTCGGATTCTTGACAGTAGGAAAGCCCTTACCGGGACTGCCGCGGCTAGCATCCCAGCCAGGTACGTTCTGACCAGGAGCAACGCCTCGCTTGGAGTTTGGCCATCTGCCTCCTTGATAGCCGTCTTGAGCAGGCCAGTCGGAAGGTTTGACGGATCCGTCCCATTTGTTGGACTTTGTGGGCTTGACATAGGAAGAAGCTTTGTTGGAGGCCCATTCAGAGGCTTTGGATACCCAATTGGAGTGAGTGGCCCATGGTGGATTGCTTCCATCACCTTCAAGCTCTGGCTGAGCTTCCGCCCATGCTTCTGGGCTGGCCCATGGATTTGGTGCCGCTTCGGCAGCAACGAGACTGGCGAGCAGCGCAATGAGGATGGTTTGGCGGAGCATTGCGAAAGAGAACTTCTGGCGTTATCTCAACCTGGGAAACGGGTCTGAGAGTCGGAAGGTGGAAACTCGAGCTGGAGGATTTCAGACTGGAACAAGACATATTTTTACCAGCCGCTTGTTCCATTAATGCCACTGTACAATAATTGTATCGGCCGCTTGCGGTCGTGACCAACAAAGAAATGCACGTGATTGTCCGCGACCGGCAAACATGGCTGCAAAGGCGCTCGGCTTCGAGATGAAGGAGGAACAACCTGTGCCACTTGTTTTCGAGCCTAGATTCGAGTGTTGTCCGAGACGGCAGATTACAGGCGCGCTTCGACACATTGACATGCTCGTCAGTACATATCTGAACCTCTGCTCCGTGTTCTTCCTCTGCACTGACTGCGAGCATGCTTACGGTCCGTTCTGCATGAGTACACGCATTTCTACTTTGCCATTCTAACTTTCCATTGCTCTAGAAACGATCCTGGGTTTTCTTCTATAGATCTATCATAAAAGCATCCAGATATTTCACACTCGAGTCCGTCTCAACTATAACCTTCAGCTCCGTTCCCTCAACCCAACAAAACCCATACCTGAACAACACGCCGATCTCCTCCGCAAGTTTAATCGCCTTCCGATAACCCTCCAACCGCCCGTCAACGAATTTGTCAAACGTTTCCCAAAACAAGGCCTCGCGCTGCTCGTAGCCGGGGAAATAATGCCACCCAGCTCCATCCATGAACCCAAGCAGGTTCTTCAGACCCCACAGTGCACACCCGAAAGGCAGCATTTCGGCTTCGGCCCAGTCGATGACGCCTGTGAGATGGCCGCTTTGCTGGGTCGACTAGGAAGTTCATCTCGCATAGGTCGCCGTGTGTTAGAATTGAGGGAGAGTCGGCGGTGAATATGATCTCGAGACTTTTCTCGGTTTCGTGGATACGAGGAGTGAAACGAGAGGGAAGCTGCCGGGCTAGCATGTTGAGTTTTTCTGTGAACTTGGCCTTGGTGGACTCAGTGTCTATGTTTTATGGTGACTTTCAGGACGCGGCTAAAAACCTACAGTGAGTCGGTTAGCGATAGGTCGGTCATGACTAAAGAAGTCAGACTCTCATACTTTGCAAAATCTGTCACCGTGTTGCTTTGTCACGGATATTGCTCTGGGGAGAAGGCTTCATGCACCTTATTTCAAAGACAAGCTTCGATGTACGTAACGCCCGGTAGCTTTTCTATACAAAGGGGGAGACGTCCCAATAGACCCTTATCTAGCGATGCTGGCAACCACACTGCCATGAACGGAGCGAGCAATTCGAAGGAGCTCGACATCCAAGTCTAAAGTCTGAATTCGGAATTGGACAATTCTGGGCGGACAACCTCCAATGATTGTATAGCTGAAAGCGCCTTGGATCGGTACTAGTATGATGGTGGCATCTTCAAGAAGAGATATCGCTAGCCCATCACACTGCTGCCGCGTTGTATCAGTGTTTGAAGCGAATAAATCCGCGATTGTATTGTCTATGGAGTACACCGCAAGTTTTGTGGGTGCCTGAGCAGCGGCCATTTTAAATGAGTGGCAGGGCGTGGAAGTGATTTGGTTGCTGTTACAACATAACGATATCAGATGAACTTCATTCGGAATGAATCAGAACTCCAAACTTTAATGTACCTATTTTGCAGCTGTTGCGTCCTGTGGCGCAGGTTGCTGCACCGTCACTCGCATTACTCTCATGCAAAGTGATCGCCGCA